GGGGTTGATAAGGGAGAAATTAAGAGGGGGGATGGTTAATTTGTTAATTGATGGGTTAATTAGCGCGCTAATTGCAGGGCCATGGGCGAGTGCAGCGACCTGGACCGGCAGATCGAGCAGCTGCGGCGCTGCGAGCTCATCAAGGAGAGCGAGGTCAAGGCCCTGTGCGCCAAGGCCAGGTCCATTAGCGCTAATTAACGCTCATTAGCCCCCGGGCTCATTAACCCCCCCCCCCCCCGGCCGCGTAAAAAAAACAGGGAGATCCTGGTGGAGGAGAGCAATGTGCAGCGGGTGGACTCACCTGTCACGGTAATTAGCGCCCTTGTTAATTAGGGGGGTAATTAGGGGGCTGAGGGGGTATTAAATAAGTATTAATAAACTGGGGTATTAATGAGTAATTAAGGGAGGAGTTAGGGGTTTTGGAGGGGGTAAATTAGGGGTAGGGGGTAACTAATTGGGGCGTTAATTAAGGGGCCAACAGGGTTAATTAGGGACTAATCAATCTGTGTGGTCATTGGTGGGTTAATTAGGGGCACCAGGGTGTAGACTGGGTAGCTAATTAACGTCTGGGGGGGGAATTAGTGGGTAGTTGGGGGGTAATTAGGCCTGGAGAGGACTAACAAGGGCCTTGTGGAGGCTAATTAATCAGTGGGGTAATTACTGGGTAGATAGATTAAAAAAGAAAGGAAGAAAGTTAATTGGGGGGTTAATTAGGCTCATTAACCCCCCCCAGGTGTGCGGCGACATCCATGGGCAGTTCTATGACCTCAAGGAGCTCTTCCGGGTGAGCCCCGCTAATTAATGTTAATTAACAGACTCTCTGCAGGACCTAATTAACCTACCTGATCGTAATTACCTCCCTAATTGCTCTTCTGATTCTGGGGGTGCCCAATTGCTCCCTGCTAACTGCTCCCTCCTACTCAATTATTTTTTAATTGTGTGGTTGTGCTTTGTTGGTAATTATGCTATCATTTCCTTTTAATTGCTCCATAGTTAATAATTAATACCTTCATTACCCACCCCAGCATCCTCAGGGCTGCTCCTTGAGCCCCCGCCAGCCCTCAAAGCTCCTTTAATTGCCATGAAACCCCCTAATTACCCCCTAATTGTGCCCCAACGACCCCTCCTCGCTAATGACCCCCCTTCTTTAACGACCCTGTCGCTAATTACCCCCCAGGTGGGGGGCGACGTCCCCGAGACCAACTACCTGTTCATGGGCGACTTCGTGGACCGGGGCTTCTACAGCGTGGAGACCTTCCTGCTGCTGCTGGCGCTCAAGG